GGTAGTTTTTTACAAGTACCTCATGCAAACCAATGAATTAGTTTCATTCTGAAACTGGGATAGAGTCTCTTTTATATGTATTATCAATCATCCACTAGTGTTCTGAAATACTGAGTTGTAATGTGGTTACATGGGATCTACAGCATGTATCAATGGGGAGACCCTCACACTTTATGTCAGTTTGGACTTACCGAATTGACTCCAAGGCAAGAGAGATGAATTGTCAGTGCAGGACCTTTCTGTGGCGCTATCCCATGTTGGAACACCTTGGAAATGAAAGCAGAATTAAAAACATTTGCTGTTTTTACAGCTTTCCAACATTCAAAATACTTCTTTTGCTTTGCTTTAAACCTGCAATTTCAGAGCACTCTGCACCAGGGTGAAGGGCACAGGCAACTTCTATTTCTGATCCCTCTTTTCCAAATCTACATTATACAGCCAAATTACAAACCTTTGGACACAGGTGTTTATGAAGAAACTACTGGCACACCTTTAGCCAACACCCTAAACCCCACTGCTGCAGCACCTACATGTACAGCAGAAGTGGAAGTGATTCCCATTCTATTTGCAATTCAGCCACACACAGTAACAATGCTTGTTCTCAGTGAAAGTAGAAAATAAAATAGGGTTTGAAGTTACCCACCATTTCTGGATGTGAGAATGGTATGGGAAAAGAGGCCAAGCACAACAGCACAATTCCTTTGAAGCTCTTCTGCTTTTTGGAGTTAATTAAAAGCTGGCTGAGAGGTCTTCCTCTCCCTTTTTTCCTGTGTGTCTCATCTTGAGCCTATATGGCAGGTGTTGCAGAGCAAGTCTCAGCAGCACCCACTGGATACCCTTACTTCCTTGCATTTGCAAGTATAACTTAATCTCTTTTAAACAGTGATAGCAGATAGGAAAGACTCTGACTTGGGCAGATACCAGGGCAACTAAAATTACCAGACTGTATGTAAACAACATGAATTGACCGTCAGTAACCTCAGCTAGAACATCATTAGAAGAAATGCATACATATTTCTTGAGTGTATATAAATGAAGGAGTTTCTGTAGAAAGACACTAGATTTGTATTCTTCCATACAGGGCTGAATTAAGTCCATTGTAAGACCACAGTAAGTGTCCTAGAGCTCCCTAGTAGGCTTGCTTGCCCACTTTGTGGTGCTGTGCCCTTGTTTCTAACTCGTGTGGGGTCAGTTCACCTCTCTCCTCATCCTTCCTCTTCCTAACCAGTGCTGAGGAGGGCGCTGAGAGCCACGGGCAGGCTCCCTGCACTCATGTTCCCTGCTGTTGAGCTTGGTGTTGGGCAGTGAAGGTTTGATAGGCACTTTTGTAACACCGTATTGAGTTGGTGGAGAGGGGAGAGAGTGTGAGTTTCTCAAAGCATCACATAAAAGCCAGAGCAGGTATTACTGCATTAGCTTTACTCCCAACATGTTCAGTTTCCTTCAGCATCTAAAAGAGCTGAAAATGTATAGCTTAGAAATTTGAGATGCTACCGTATCTACGACTCCAGAAACCTAGAGCCTCCAATGCATACGCTTAAGCCAGACCTGTTGGATTCTAAGAAGCAGTTCAGATGCTCTTCTCCAGAGCTTCTTGTGCCCTAGGGGGAGCACAGAAGGAAGCCCCTTGGGCACACATGTTGAGGTGCAGTATGGGCTTGAGGTGTAACTGTGGAAGACTTAGCCACTGAAATTAAGAATTAACCAGCATCCTTTTAATCATGCTAAGTATTAGTTTTCTTGCTGCCTATGTTTTTAAGAGTGTTTCCTGGTCATTTTAACAATGCAAACACTGATTATTTTGCAATTAAGATATTAACACATTCTTAATAACAAAGATTGAATCATAAGTAATAAATAGATACTTGGCAATACAGCATAAACATACACGATGGTAGATAATGTTGGTCATCTTGCAATTCCCTATGATCAATTTATGCATGAAACACAGATCTGTGTTTCATTATGAAGTAACAGTTTTATCTATTGGAAAGAAAAAATATGCTACTGAAATGAAAGTCTATATTTTAAAATTCTGTTATGTTTTATGAGGTATCCACGTTACTGTAACTAATGTATCACTTGATCCGGTAAAATAACTACCAGGCATTTGAATACCGCAACACTTTGAGTAAACAACAGAGAAATCATTTTCTCATTAGAGTGCTCTTTGATTTGTTGGCTACATAATTATGACTTGTCATATGATATAGGTTGATACATACTTCAAAGTGCATAGGAAACAAAAAATACTGTATCATTTTACTCTTGTCGGATGCAGTGCTGAAATACTGAACTAGAAACACTTCGACTGGACTTAGAAAAATACGTTAGAGATATTAACCTTTCAGAGGGTTTTCAATTCTGACCTTTCTTTAAAAAAAAAAGGTTTTATTTATTGTTCTGCTTGAGGAGAGAATGCTGGATTTTGCCCTGGATGGTTTAGGTTAATCATAGCTGTAGATATCAGTATTGTCCTATGAGGAGAGTAGTGAGTCAATGCAACCAGCATGTTAGAATTATTATACCATATATTCAGTTAACTCTATTAAACAGCAGGCATAATAAAAGGTTTAATATTAGTTACATGTAAAAATAGGCTTTCTTTATATTTCTTTCTAGATTAACTTATCAGGTGAAAATCAAGAATATTTTAAATTTGTTACAAAATTACCTTTAACAATCATCTTGTGTGTTTTCTCTTCCATATGATAGAAGTTGGTTCTTTATCATGTTTTCTTGTGAGATGAACAAAAGTCTGTTATGAATGCTATTACCCTTCATAAAACATTGGTGTTCCTATAGGCAGCTGTAACTCTACAAGAAAAAGGCAAACCAAAATATTCTGTTGAGATATTAATTTTTTAAAAAATCCCTCATTTATTGTTTTCATCTATGTCTCTTCCCGCAGGCACATGGTCATAAGGCATTGCCCCTTCCAGTCATTTTCCCTTCCTTACCAACTGATACCAGTAGTGTGTTTTCCCACTTCAACAGGGACCAGCAGTCACCCGGGGTTCTTTAGGGGAGGGGGTGGCGAGGGAAAGGCTGTTTTCTTTGTTTAATGGTATGTGTCCACAGTGAGAACTCTGTGCTTTTCAAACTTCTTTCCTGAGGCTTATACCAGAGATGCAAAGGATTTCAGATTTCTTTCATTTCTAGTTGTTGAGAAAAGAGTTTCTGATGTGCAAAAGTTACCTCTTGTGTTCTCTTTTGCTCTGTGTATGTGAATAAATTCTTTCATTGTTGTCATTGGGAATTCTGTAAATACAGAAAGAGGAGTAAGCCAAATTCTGCCATGGAGACCTTAGAAGAGAATTTTATTCTGCAAGTACTCCCTTATTCAAATATTTGAATAGAAATATTGTGTAATGTGTACTCAGGAAACACTGTATTGATTTCAGTAGGTGTCATGCAGGACTGTAAGCAATCATGTACAAAAATAAACTTATTTTTGGAGATGACATCTTCAAAATTGCTTTCTGGTATGTCAGGAATCACTTTGCTATGACTGCAGTTGATGTTTCAAGTGAAAATAATAGTCTATATGAAAGTCTGGTGAAGAGCAGAAATAAACAAAATTCCAGACTCTCTCTGTATGTGACAGAAAAACACAAAGAGAAAAATTCTAAAGACAGATAAACAACGTGTCTACAGTATTGTTATAATTAACTCATTAATAATCCTCTATTTGGAATGATAGCTCACTCTGTAACATAGGTTGAATAAATTTTGTTTGTAATTTACTGCACAGTAAGTTACTGCTGAGAAAGTAAATAGGAGGCAAAAAGGAACACACAAAACCACGTCTGAGGTTAATTAATTCCTCGAGTTATTTGGCAGTCATTTGGCTTCATGGTTTTATAATATATACTGAACTAAATTAGAACCAGGACACAAGCTGAGTGAAAGCTAAAAAGAAAAAGTGGATCTACCTATTACTAATATTGACACATAGGTGAACACACACACAGTGAAATGCAGGCACAAACATCAACTGTTTTCTCCCATTGCTAAAAACCCTGCAAACTAGATGATGATGTAGCTTCTGATTTTAAGTAGATCACAGAACAGAGGCAGATGGATTAACTGAGATTTCAGGCAATACTTATGCATACAATTAGGCTATGTTTGATAATTTAACAGAAATGTATTCTTTGTTGTTGAATTACTGCTCTGTTTTATGACTCTTCTGCTTCTGTAGAGTTATACCTGTGACCAGCTTTTTCCCACCTTTACCAGTGGCACTTGGCTACCTTCAACAGCAGACACAACTAGCATCTCAAGTAAAAAAACTGTAATAAAAAAATGCAAAATCTGTTCATTTTCTTGGATTTCTATGTTATGTAGCTCTCAAGAAGCAGACTTCTTTTTTCACTTCTCCTGTTTTTAGCTTGTTTTGTCTGAGAATTTGGTAAAGACCTCTCATGAATTAATAGAACTACATCCAATGTTTTTCTGTCTGAGAACAAGTATGAACAAATGCATTCTTTGGCTAAACTAAACTGCTGACATCCATGACATGCATAATATTACATGGGTCAGAGCAAAAGCTATGCAATCCGCGTGGCTGTCTTCTGATTTCCTTAAGTTGGATGGAATTACGTGGAAGATAAAAGTATAGCACTCATATAGATACACTTTTTGCTCATTTGGGCAGAGGTAACCACATTTAAATAATTCTGTGTAGCTTATACATACTTTTTTTTGGCTCAATCTTTAACTAAGTTGTAGCATCAGAAGGATCAGAAATGCGATTTAATTTCAGTATAAGAAGTAAAATGTTTTCCTCATGTAAAAAACCAAGGTTATCTCCTTTTGTATATCACTATATAAGAATGTTAGATGTGCTAGAGTGCTTCTTAGAAGCAGCTCACCCAAAGAGCACAAAGATGGTAATATATGAAACAGGAACTCTCTCTGCAGAGGGAAAATCAGGTTCGGAGCAATGGAATATCTTGGAGGCTTAATTTTTTTATTTTTTAATTTTTTTTACCTAGGGTCAGTGAGACTCCAGGGTGGCAAGAATGAGTTTGAAGGTACAGTGGAGATATATTTGAATGGAATCTGGGGAACAATCTGTGGGAGTCATTGGGACAATAATGATGCAACAGTCATATGTCGACAGCTTGCACTTGGGTAAGTTTCAGTCTGAGTAAAAATCAGTCATTTTAATGATGTTTCAGTATAAAGGACAATCTATTTTGCAAATCCTGATGGCTTTTTGTGTTTGATGGTTGTTTTTTCTGTTTGAAAGTTGTTGAATGCTGAAGTTGTTCTTCCCAGAATCCTTTGCCTCCTTCAATTGTGTTGTACTTCAGAAAGGTTGCTGTGAGAAACAGTATTTCATTTGAAAGCTGCATATGGGATCTGGAGAGGAACAGACCAGGGTAGATGCTTTGCTTTCAAAGTGAAAAGTGTGAACAGGTCAGAAAAGCTTAGGGCAAACAAAAACTGCTTTACGAGACATCCGGGAGGCATCCACAAGGGGGAGAAATATGAGGTCTGATCCTGATCTCACTTATGTAAGTGTCAATTAAGAACAGCTCCAGTGAGGTTACTGAATCTACAAAAATGTAAACATGACCAGAATTAGACTCTACATGGGCTCCTAATCATAGGAAAATTCCTGGTTCTTAGAGGAGCATGGGGTTACCCTGGTAATCATCCATTCTATCCTGCCAAAAACCATCTGGGACTCAACCTAGGTTTTTGGAAAATGTCGTATTTTTGTTGTGCACATCTTCATCTAGCTAGATAATCTGTATGGTTTACTTTCAGAGTTGCACATTGATAACAAAACCCAAAACCAGACAAGTCTTGCAGCTTTACGTTTTCATGGAAACATTTTATAGAGTTATATTGGACAGGTTGAAAGCCCCTGCATTGTCCTCACTGAGCACTACTTCCCACTGCTGTCAGAATGGGGTTAATCAACAGGACCCTTTAACATAATTTGGTCATTAAACTCTAGATAATGCCTACAGTGATACTGCAATTGCAATAGTAAGATGAAACGGAGGTAAGAAAGAAAAATGCCCATACCAAAAGGGAGTTTTAAAAATAAAATGCAATTTCAGCTTCTAAAAAATCAACGCTGTTCAAGTTAGCAACCACATTACTTGAATATCCCCCTTTAGCACCCCATTCCGTTTGTACTTTCTCAGTAAGCCACAAAGTATGGATAGCTTTATTGCCTTTCTAACATTTCTTTCAGTCACATACCAAAGTAGTGATTTTGTTTGCTACAAGCAGTAAGGGGCTTTTATAGCATACTTGCACTGTGACATTCCTAATGATTATTCCACTTTTTAAGACTGCTAGCCAGAACTAAATCTAAGCTGTTTTATAATGTTCAATACTAATCTGGACACACCATGCCAACTTATAAAAATATGAGGATTAGATGAGATAAAAGTTCAGCCATCTGGAGGCCGTGAATTGCTTATGACTTCAGCTGCCTACGTGCAATGTCTCCTTTCCTCATTTTCATGTAAGTTCTTTTTGCCTTCCATGCCCTAAACATTTCAGTTGAACAAGACCGCTATTAGCAGAAGTAGTTCAGTGACACGGGTGAATGGTTTGGTCTTTTCAACAGAAATGGCTTAAATCTGAATCCAGGCCAAAAAGCCCCAAGTGAACAGTAGCTGAAAGTTTCTGTTATCATGAGCGTCTGGCAGAAATTTGGATCTATATACCACAAGGTGAACTCACTAGGTATTACTGGTGCTTTTCAGGTGCTTCCATCTATGTTCCTTTGATTTTACAGTATTTGGGCTTTGTTTTTAATTTAATGTTGTTGGGCATTATATGGAAGAAAAGATGGCTCAATAATTGTCACTGTAGATTCAGTATGGGAAGGAAAGGATGCTGTTAATAAATGTTCTGGATGGATGGGAATGGCTGAATAGAGAATAATGGACACGGGCCTGATCTAATTGAGTATGAGGTGGTTTTACTGCCCCATGGTCACAACCATATTACATGACATGTATGGGCAGAGCACTGCTACGTTTTAATGGAGTAAAGGAGAGGATAAGGGTGAAAGGCCCATTAGCATTACCTCTCCTGGAAGTATAACTGCCGTGGGATGGTACTGTAGGTTCACCTACGGACTGTGGACTCTGTGTCAATTTTTGTAGTTAAGAATTGGGAGAACAGGAGTGTAGCTGGCTCTGCAGCAACACAGGCCATTGTACTAAAATATTCCGCAACAAAATGGTGAGAACTGGGTCACATCTGTTACTTTTCTTTGTACAG